AATGGAGAATCTTTTAGAAAAGAAGATGGAAAAGGAAATGGGAACCCTAAGTACTCTTTTTGGACACCTTTCGCGGGACTGAGAGTTTAAGGGGTAAGAAGACTTGACTGAGAGATTCGTGGCACTTGAGCCATTTTCTATTTAATCTCTGCTCGAAGTGAAGCTTGACGTAGAGTTGTGTGGGAGCTGCATTTCGGTCTCTGCAAGGTGTGTAAGGAAGGCGCTTGACCTCCAACTGTCAATTGAAATGCTGGCGTCGCGACTATCCTCCATGTCGGCAAGCCGCAAGCCGGATCTGGAAGTTAATGCGTTGGGGAATCATGTGGCCTTGGCGGCAAGAAAGCCTTGCACAGCAGGCATTCCCTCTTGCAGTAATTAAAGTGAACGCCACATTCAAAACATTCCCGCTGGAAATCTTTCAGATGCTGCTTCAGCTCTTCTGATGCTTGAGGAAACTTACTGCATTGATGCTGGACGTGAGCCCGAAAGTCCAAAGCACCTGAATCCAACGACAAGATTTTCAGCCCGGACACTGCCCCAAAGATTTCAGCCGTCATTGTTCTGGTCAAAGTCAAAGAGGCCTATCCCTGCTGGACCACCCTCGGCACGCCTGAGCACAGCTGGTCTGACGTCGCCGCTTGGCCACACCGCAAGTTTCATATTCATGAAACCATTTTCGGTTGCCTTTTTCATTGTTGCTTGTTTCGGATGTCTTTTGAATCATCATAAACATCTCCAACAGACAGAAAACAGAAGCTTTACCTGGTGGGAAATTTGCATAACCTTTTAGCCAGACATCCTCACCAAACTTCCAGAGAGCCCAATACCGTTAGCCTCTTAATGAAGGAATATACCCTAGACGATAAAACGATCCCCTGTGTGATTTACGCGCTACTCCTTAATCAAGGGGTACTGGGTTTCTGGGTCGTCAAGAGCCACCAGATATGCCGGTGCCGAGCAAACATTTTGACTTGATGCTGCATTTGCTGTGCACCGCGCCATCGCCCGAAAGCCTTGTGCCGATGGCAAAGAAGTCGTCTCAGTTTCCAGAAGTCTCCAGCGCAGCCAAAAGAAGAGGGTTTTCACCTTCGTGCGTTTACTGGGACTATCCAACGTGGCCTCAAGGTCGACGTATATAAGGTTACTATAATGCATAACCAAATGCAAACAGAAATGGAAGATGAAATGGACATTGGTGTTGTATATATATATATATATACTTATATGGGTTATATAGGGGTAAAGTCCTCCATCCGACGAATGGAACATCAATCATAGGACTACCATCGCCTCCTCCCCCCCTAGCCCCGCCCTATATGCACCCCTCCAAACCAACAACGAGCCCATGAGTCAATCTTCATGCAGCTTTCACAGCTGAGGCGTTTGCCCAGTGCCCCGGCGCTTCCGCAGCGCTGCTTAGGGCCAAGTCGTTCGGTTCATGCAGAGAATTATGAAGGGATGGTAGAGGGGTTCTCTAGAGGTTATGTATGGGGGATGAACTACTATATTCTTGAAGGTCTAAATTACGGCTTCATCGGGAATGTTGAAGTATATATATATATATACATATATACCTCCAAGAATTGAGCATCAAGTGGAAAAGACAACTGAAAATGGAATGGAAACTGGCCTTGTATACGGTTGTATATTGTGGATGGCCCAGGTTCCGAACCGGCCCAACCAACCTTGGCGTTTGCGCAGATTACAGAAACTTGTGCCTGACACACCGCGAACCCAAGACATGGATCAAATTAAGGACGTCAGGGGACGTCACGGGTTTCGGGCTATGGATTCCCACCTCTCCAGGAATACTACAATTCCAATTTCTTTCTTATCCCAAACCTACCGTAGTTCAGGGAGCTCAGTATACCCACAGATGGAAATGGCCGCACGAGCCCAAGCAAATATGTCAGAGTTGTGACGTAGGTGAATTGCGGCTGTAGACCATTTGATGCTTTGCTGACTATTAAGGCATCCTGCCTGTGACCCTTGTCGCACGCACGCAGCCCTCCACGGCACAGTCTGGCAGATGTCTGAGAGTGGTTGCTTTGATGTTGAGTAGGCTGTTGCAGGAATCTTAGACATGAGGATGCTTCAGATAGATTCCGGAAGCTTTTTTGAAGAAGAAGTGCTGAGACTGTGGTTGATCAGAGCATCTCACAGGAATCAATCGTGAGTTATGTGAGCGGCTAGGTGGGCTGTTCTGCTCTCCCGTTGGAAAGCATGCTTTGTGTAGCATCATGGCCAGGTGCGGGATCCGAACAGCCGACGCGATCGTGAAGCTCACAGAGCTGAGGATGGGCTTTCTTGGTATGGTGTTTCCAGGTTGGAAGACTGCACAAGAACAGACTGCAACCACTTGAGCAAGACAGACCCAAAGGATGCCATTCTTAGGTCTTACAAGGCTATTCAAACCTCCAAAGACTTGGGTCAAAGAATCCGGGCCCAGTAACCTTGGAAAGAGCCTGGGACATTTGGCACGGTCTGCAGGGCTGCTATCGGAGTGATGGCCGCCTGCTCAAGAGTTTCTTCATGCTAACATTAAGCACCATCCCCTTCCCTTAAATTTAGATATTCACCCGTAGGAGAAGTGTCATATTGAGGGCCGCATTCAACATTAGGGGTGGGGGGATGGGGGGGTGTTTAACATTAGTATGACCGGATTCGTTTCTTCAGGGCAAATGACCTTGACGCGGGAAAACATCAGCTCTTTGCCAGACATGCTTCTTATTCCACGCTTGTTTGTTACATCCACTTCCCTGTTCCAAGCGGCAGAGCGCGAATTTCATCCAGCTTCTACAGGCATACCAACATTTCCTTGTTATGAGAATGATCTGAAAAGATACCCTTATTGTTATGGCTGAAAGGGGTTCATCGTTTTTTTCCCAAAGTGATGTTCACTGGAATCAAATAGAGAAACCTGATCCAGATAGATTGTTTGTAATAATAACATAGTAATCGTTTCTTAGCATTCCTCGTATTTTGGCGGTATAGAATCCCTGAATATGATCCTAGTCCCCTGGACCCTACCCCCTTAACCTCAACCCAAGTCTCTCAAAAGTGCGAACAGTCACAAGGATGGTGGATGTCCAGCTCAGATCCTCGTAACTGTCTCCTTTTTTGAGGCCCCGGAGGCGTCATTCTTGTAACAGTCGTCGTTTTTGATGTCGCTAATTTCAACAGTGTGGGTCCTGGTCACGATCCATGAAATTGTCATCGTCTTTGAGGTTGCAGATCGCAAAATGCCAGCAGTCACAACGGGGATGGTGAGTGTCCGTGTCACGATCAGCGCAGCTGTTGTTGTTTTTGGATGCTGCAGATCGCAAAAGTGCGAACAATCACAAGGATGATGGATGTCCTGGTCACGACCCATGAAACTGTTCATCGCTATGATGCTGCACAAGGATGGTGCTTGACCTCCACCACCCACGCCACAGCGGGCAAGAGGAAACCACCCACACCACCGGGGAAAGGACCGACTCGAACCAAAAGCTGAATACTGAATCGCTTCAGGCTTCAGACAGTTCCATATCAGCCTTGCTTCCACCAAGAGGACAGTTCGTTGCTAGGGGGAACGGCAAAGATCTGAATGGCTTCAGCTACACAAAAGGATGACAGTTGTTGAAGCAAGACGAGCACTCACACCACACGGGGAGGAATGTTTTCAGCAAGAAAGAATGTTGAGAGCTTTGGGAGAAAGAGCACCCGCCACACGGAAAGATCTGAATGAACTGACATTCATGGCAGGAAGAAAGCCAACCACAACATAGAGGTGGAGGAGGAAAATCTGAATGAACTCAGCAAAAGCTGGTCTTGATGCTCCCTGGTGACACTCACTTACCAGAATCGCAGCACCATACCATGAGGGGGTTGAAGCCCTGGATCATATATATATATATATCATTTTTAGCATTATTTCTATTCTTACTACTACTGTTACTATTACCAATACTAGTAGTGTGACTATTACTATTATGATTACGATTACTCTGACTATTCTACAAATTATACCATATTGACACATTACCATATTACTATAATACTTTTTTAATTATATTGCTATTTTACGAATGTACTTCATTACTGTTATTCTTGTGGCTATTGGTATTATTATTGCTATCTATGGGCAGCGCATTGCGCGTCATCAGCGTGCTTCACATGGGTCTTCCTTTCTTAGGCCCAAAATATTATAATCCTTACTACGGGGACCCCCTTTTAACCCTAATCCCTAAACCCTAAAGCATGGGGACCCTCTTTTCCCATATGATCCAGATCCCGAAGCCCTTTGGTGAGCCTGGAGCTGCTCAAAGCTTCTGTGATCGCCAGTGCGCGGCGTCGCCGGGATTTTTCCTATCCTCTGGGGGTATTCCGTGGAATAGCTTCCTAATTTTTGCGGCGCAGAAACCTTCTATATCCCCTACAACCATAAAGATAAGTTTGATGGGCCCAAAACCTACTCTAGAATGCCGCAATGCCTGATGCTGCCTTGTGACTCAAGGTGGGGTGCGCTCAGTGCACACCCACACCTGACTCATGACATCTGCACTAGACAACACCGTTAGCTTGCAAGGTAGTGCATGAAGCCCGGCTTCACGCTCCTAATCAATAGCAGTCAACTTCTACGACCTTTCTACGACGCAGGTGAGAGCCATCCCTGGCTGAAAGCCCTGAGCAGCCTGAGCATCCTTGATGGATCACTTCCTCAGCATTGCATTGTTGTACATCTGTGGCCGACAGCCATGTCGCTCCCGAAACGCATCAATGCCAAGGCAATTTGGATTGGGGATGGGAGGTGGAATTGGGTGTAGGCCACTGGGTGTCTTCTGTGGCTCATTGACAGGTCATAGTTGCTGGCCCGGCAGCAACTGGCAAGACCTGTTTAATTGAAAGATTCGCCCAGCTCTCAGAAAGTCAGAGCATGCGCCCACTCATTCGTCAGACAAAACTATTGCAACCCGAAAATCCCAAGCTTTCCGAAAGCCCAGCATGCGGCAAATCAGGTCAACAACGTATTTGCAGCGGATGACGCTACTCATGGACCTACCCTGGGTTGTGACTGCCTTCAGAAGTCTGTCTTTATAGAGGACACAGAGGCACGCAGGAGATAGCTTCTGATTAATAACCATGTCGGCAGCATGTTTTTGGGATGATCTTCTGCACAAATCCACACGCAAGCCCCTGGGATGTGCGTGAGACCCTGCAGGTTCATCTCTTCCTCTACGACACCGCGGGACAAGAGCGCTTTGCGGATATGGCGGCCAGCTACTACCGCGTGGCAGAGGCGGAGCCGCCGGAGGGGAAACGGACCTTGACCTTTCGGGCCTGAAAGACATGGAAGCAGTAACTTGATTTGGATCCTTCCTGGGACAGTCTTGGTTGGGGACTTCGTCAATTCGTGGGCTGGTGAGGTCCTTTGTATCAAGTGGCCTTCTCCCACATGCTGACAGAGTCAGTCTTCCTTTAAGTTCGCCGCGAGTAGGCATGCCAGTCTCCAGCCGAGCCATGATCTTTCTCGTTCCCAAAATCTAGCGCAAGGCCTTGATATGAAAACACATCATCCAGCCTTGCACACAGGTTTGCCTTCTTTGCTTTGACATGTCCGACGTTTCGACCTTTGATCGGACACAGTTCTGGATGAAGAGGGTCACGGAACCTCAGCTGCACGCTTGGGGAGCATCATCAATTTCGCTTTCGGAGTTGTGGCTGGGCGACCCCAAAGATTCTGTTGCCCTCAGGAACACAACCCAAAGTGCCTCTTCATCCTCGTAGGGACCAAGGAGGACCTCCTCACAGAGGCCGGTTGCAGATTGACTTGTTCGTATGCCAAACCCTGGCGTATTGCTGGGAATACTCAAGTATTACGGACGCTAGGTATTTCCTATGTATTCCTGTGAAGCCGAACAAGATAATCTATAGGGCCCCTTTTCTCAGAGCAAACCCATTCCAAAATCAGGATGCTGTGCACAGGTTTCTTCATCCTTTAGCTCTCAACCTTGCGTAGAATCGCAGCCACGGCCTACAATGTAGAGTGGTTCCCATGTGTCCTGCTAGGAGCAGTCATCCAAAATTGATCCAATCTCGCACTGGGCTGAAGAGGCAGGGAGTTGGGATGCCATATAAGGGGTTGCCTACAATCAGGGGTACTTTTTTGGGGTCCCTATACAGGGCCTAGAAAATTTTGGGGTTTATATTGGGGTCCCCTATCTTGTGAAACTACCATAACTGGTTGCTGGGGTTTGGGATCCAGCCTGTAGAGTTTAATTAGTCATCAGCTTTGCAGCGCTTGCATTCTGAGGGGAGAGAACGGAGAATAAGCCAGCAGAATGATTGGAAAAACGTACTTTCCTAGGTTTCGTGATTTTCAGGCCTTTCGGCAGCAAAAAGCGTGACTAGGTATGTGTGACCTATGACACTGCGTTTTGCCCCAAACCGGAGGTTACTGCGTGTCAAGTCCCCACTTTAGGTCTTTAGGTCTTTCCTTTTCAATGGATGTGTGTGCATGTGGTTCATATGGCCCTGATACTCCGGATGACTGGCAGCTAGGACTTTGAGGCAACGTTCTACTTCCTATTCCCCTATTCCCTATAAACCACCATGCAATAGGGATGTTACCCGCGGAGTGGAGCAATAAATGGAAACGGCAATGGATCATGAATTCCACAATGCTTGAAGGTGTAAGGCCACCAAAACTACTGTCTCATTGAATTTGGGTGGGTTCAGGGTTTGGGGCTTCGGGTTTGTATGCTGAGGCCATATTTTTTGTGGGTAGGGCTCTTTGGGATGTTGAAGCCGAAGCTGCTAGATAGCTGAGCCAGGCTGGAATCCCCTTCTTCCCGACCAGTGCGCTGAAGGGCGGAGAGCACATCAGGCCAGTCAAACTTTGGGGTAGCTTTTTGACGGAGGTGTTTCAGGTGCTTAAGCTTCAAAAGCTGGTGAATGTTTGTAATGAAAAGAGTTCTAAAGGAAGCCCAGATCGAACATAAAAAAAAATTGAGAACTACAGCATCACAATCAGCAGCGGCTGTCGCCATCGCTGCAGCTTCTGAGATGCAGCCGGACAGAACCACGCCTTGCGATGAACACAGGAGCTTTATCTCCTCTTTTCCTTCTTCATTGTGGCCTGGATTTCAGGTTTCTCTTCCACACGGTGGCGGAAAAGTGCATTCGGCTCGAGTCTCAAGATAGTTAGCTCACCGACAGCCCAAGCTTCTGGAACGCCTTTTGACACTTTGAGCTTGAAGGGCTGCACTGGGGTACTCCTGGAAAACATTGGTTATTGTGGACCAGAATCCCTGTACAATCGGATAAAACTCACAAGAATTAGATTTTGATACGGCCCCTCAAAATCCATCCAAACACATGAGATTTCTCCGGCTTAAGGTTAAAGCTCAAGTACGAGGGCCAGACGAAGGAAGGAGCCGGAGGTGTGAAGCTTCAGAGCTCAATCGGCCAGCCAAAGGCGTGACCGCCCTGCTTGTACCCTGCTTGTTATCTGAGGGATCATCAGAGCGCATGGGCTGAGCAGCTCAGAAAGGTCAGGGCTTAAGCAGATTCGCAGAGGCTGACATCACTATTCATTGCATACAGCCTTTGTTTGAAAGAGTTGCTAAACAAACAGCAACTTTCTTCAATACCAGACTTGACTGGGTCCGCTGCAAACGCATCCATGGCTGGCAGGCCAGTTGCTGCGGCTGAGGCGAGTCGGAAAGAGCACATCACATCTCACAAACCTTTGTTTGGGACTGCACAGTTCATTGTGTGACGTTGCGCACGTTCACGGGCCCTCTGTGTGGTGCTCCTTGCCTTTTAACCCTGGATTCCACAAATTAGGTAAGATAATTGGATAGCTGTGGCGATGCAATATCAACAACCGCACTTCTTCTCAGCAGTATGCCAGTTGTTCGGTCTGTTGCGGGAATCCGCCCAACAGCATTCCACTTGTTCTCAACGCCATGTGGGTAGAAAGGCAAACAATGGTCGGAGGACGGCGCATGTTTTCCATACCCAGTTGTGCAGCAAGTTGCCTTCACACGAGAAGTGAGAGAAGCCGGGTCAAGGCCCATCATTTGAACATGATCCCGCAAGCCCATCAAACACCCAGAAGGCGGCTTTGAGTCAGACAACGCTTCTTGTCCTTCGACCAACCGTTACATCCTAACCCCTGGCCTCAAGCCGTACATACTGCAGTACTGTAGTTTCCATTTTCTTTCCCATTGGTCTGCCGTAGACCCCAGACCCTAGACCTTAAACAAGGAATTAAGGAGTGCATCCCTAATGATGGTTTGAATTCTCTTTTGGACTGATTCATGTCCTGCTAACCAGAGGTAAGTCTTGTTCTTTCCCCAGCTTTCTCCCCATGAGCTGCTAATGAACCATGTAGGTTCTACATCATGTACGAAACTCCAGCCCATCTTTGTAGGCATCTTGCAGAAAGCTCCAGCCCCGCAAGCACTCCGAATTTCCATGCCCTAGGCAGTTTCAGTACAGTTGGCCAGCACACTGGCCATGCCAAGCTGCGCGAGAAAAATGTTGCATGAGTTTCCCAGAACAGGGGACCCCAATACCAGACCCCAACTAATAAGCCCCCAAAATGGTAGCCCTAATTTTGCGGAATCTCCGGATCTCGTCCAAGGGGTCCACCATTTTTGCAGGCTGCAGCCCACAGCTGCACATCTGAAAGCTCCAAGGCACTTGCCCTGAAACCCCATGAAATTCGAATGATTCTGACCAAGTTCCCAAGGCTCCGTCAAAGCGCCTGAGCCCTGATGAGCGAGCCAGAAAACGCTTGAATGCACTGTGCCGTACTCTTTGTTGGCGCAAAGCTCCTTACTGCCAATTTTCTTTGTGACGGTCTCGCTCATGATGCTGTACCTATGCCAAAATTGGCGATCTAATCACAGCAGATCCGACATAAGCAACAAGGGCATCGATGGTGGTCATCGTTTACAGCCTAGGTGTATTTGCATAGTCCATGTGACAACACAAACCGTCGCCCTCTGCCCTGCTGCGCGGCATGCACGATGTGACCAGGCTGAACACAGACATGGTTCGGAACGCGCTGTCTGCGCTGCATATTAGACAGTTCTTCCGGCAGAGGGATTCAAGATCATGTTGGATTGAACATGAAAATACCAGTATTGAGACAGAGGAGCTGTTGTGCCTCAGCATGGTACTGATGTTGCCTCGATGAAATGCAGAAAGCTCCAAGCCTCAACCTGAAGCCTGAAAGCTTGAAGTGCAATCTGACAGCCAGATCTCGAAGCTCGAGGACTGAACATAGGGGAGCGACAGAACAGTGTTTTTTGCCATGTCTCTTTGCCCTGAACCGAGATACGCCTTGTGATTTTTTTCCAGCAAGGCGAGACGGCAGCGACGGGACAGACGAGGATGAGCTGAGACACGAGACCTTGCGCGCAATTCGTGAATTTCTAGCCAAAAATAAGCATTTGCGAGCCGACGGGGTTTTGAGTGGATGGTATGCAGTACGTAAATTGAAGCGGGAATTTAAGTCAGAGGTACAGAGCATTCTTCTCGGGCATAATTGATTCCTTATTGTCCTCCCTGTCTGTGGATCCAGAATCTGTTCCAGTCGTGTCCAGCAGTTGTAGGAATCCAGGCAAAGCCCTGGCAGTTCGTTAGCACTTGTGAAGCACCATGTCCAAATAAGGTCAGAAAGCATTCATGACAGGCTTGCGTGTGAGCTGGTCTGAGCTTGCAGGAGGGCCTTGCCGTCACCCCGAGGTGCAGTCTGCGGTTGCCAGAGCACAAGGGGCTGGGGAGATAAGGTTGTGGATGGTGCCCAGAGGTTTTGGGCTTGGGCAGGACCTGCTATGAGTTTGTCATTGCCGGTGTTCAGAGCTGGCGGTTGCATACTGTGCCACGTATAGATGCCTCAAACCCAACGACAGAGAGTCTGCAGGTGCGACAGAGAGCCAGGCCTGGACTCCCTAATATCTTTCCTGTAAAGCCAGAAGAAATCTAGCATCCCTGAGCATCCCTGAGCTCTACGTGCCAGGCCACCAAAGCCTGTCCGGCCAAAGCTCCGCCGGCCGCCGGTGCCCCCGGAGAAGGTGCCCTGGCTTGCTCGGCAAATTCAGGTTTCAGTGAATGCAACGCATGGGCTTCCAAAAAGACAGTACATTTCCATAGAAAAGCAGCTGGCTGTTGAGTGTATCACCCTGCTTGGTCATGGTGAGCGGTTACTTTACCAAGATTATGGTCCTAGGTTCCTTGTATAATTATGGTATAGGGAACTTCAAGTAGACCTCAAGTTGACATTGGTAATTATTTAGGCACCGTCTGCAAGCAGGTGAAGCTGCGAAGTGGCCATGTGACCAATAGGCGATCCGGGGCTTGCTGAGTTTGACATTGACCGGGGGTGGGTTTGACAATACATTTTAGTTTTAGTTGCCCACATTTTGGCTTAATCCCGATACAGCCACGATTTTGTAAGGGCCCCCAAGCCGACCCTAGTAACCTTCTGGCTTGGCTAGAGATGATGCAGGGTCTTCGAGATCTCGCAGAAGTTTCCTGATACAGGGAACCGCCTAATTCATAACCTTTTTCAGGTTAATGCAGATTTAAAATGTCAATTCACCACTGGAGCGGGTTGAAAGGGGTACATGGAGTTATATATGGGCTCTATACGGTCAGAAAGGGATATGTAGGGGTAGTACTGGGGTGGTCCAAGGTCGACCTGATTCTGGGAATATCGATGCGGGCATCGCCAGACTTGGCTGGGGATATGGCTCTGCAATACTTGCTTGTTTCGTGTCCTTAGAACCTCACTATTGTCCCTTGCTCGAAGCATGGCCTTGGATGCGGTCACAGGGCAAACGCGCGGAGCATCGTGTTTTGTTTTACGCGCAAGGAAAGTTTATTGAAATGCTGGCTGAAGAAAGTAACTCTTCCAGAGCTGCTTTTGCTAAGCAGACTTGTCGTCTTGTCGAGGGCTTTAGCAAGCCAAAGCTGGGATCTTGTTTACCCTGAGGAAGACTTCAACCTATAGAGCTCCTAATCTAGCCACTACACAATCCCGATTTAGCTTGTAATACATCTACCAGATTTCATGTCCAGGATGAACCCGCCAATGGAGTCAGCGTGGGGAGCTCGTTTGATGGTTGGCTCTTGGGTGTGGTTTTATGGTTTCTGGGGAGATCCCAGGAGTTTACATCATAGCTTTTGGGGCCTGGCTTTGGGGTTTGCAACTACTCTTGGAGACCTTCAGAACTCGAGAAGAAACAGCCCAGCACCCAGGACCCAATGCTCAGCAGACGAAAGGTGTCATCTAAATGTGGCAAGTTTGGAAGGGCTGGCATCCTTGCGTGCTGAATGTGCTTGTGCCAAGTTGATTGCGAATAAGGCTGGCAAGACTCATAAGTTGAGTTACCTGCTGATTCAAATCCTGCACTCTTTATGCACCTCGGTGTTCTTTTCCCGCCGTTTCCTTGACTCAGGATTCGGACGGATGGCTTTTGGAGCAGCCTTCCCGCCACTGCTTGGGTTTCAGGTCCATAGGTTCTCTTTCCCCACCCCTATGCCCTTGCAGAGGCAAATTTTCTAGACGTGCAGAAGGCAGATTGCTTTGGACGCTGCCGTGGCTACCCTGCGGACTCTAAGATCCCTAAGGTAGGTGCTTAACTCTGAATATCTGAAACGAATTCGGACCCTCCTGAGGTGAGGTTGACTGAGGTTGCCTTTTCTAGAAGAAAACCAGCATATGCAGGTCGATCCATTGCTGTTTGTGTAAAGCAGTTTCCAGAATCCACAGGATTGCCTGGCTTACCGCCTGGCTCAAGGGTATGGATATGGTACGGTGGTTTGGACAGTCGTAGACTGTCACAACGGCGCAGCTGTTGCTGTTGCTGCCCGACCCCGAGTTGACAATAGGCTTGGCAGTACTCTTTTGCCATGTTGTTCACACAGCTGTCCTCATCCTAGGAGCCTTGTTGCAACCTCATGATGATGTTATTATCAATGCCAGCAAAGTCTTGACAAAATCCCACCGATGATCTATCCCCCGGACAGCTGTCCCACATGTGTTGTTGAGGTAACGAGGGCATCAAAGATCTCGGCACCAGGAAGAGGGAGGCGAACGACCTGAATCTTTGCCGAGGCGGTGCTTTCCGCACATCTGTATGCTATGTGAGTCGTGCCAAAACTCTTAACCAAGCTGGGAGTTTGCAGTACTGATCTCAACCTTGCTCGACGAGGTTCAGCAGGCACTGAAGAGCTTAGACTGGGATACTAGTTCTAAGCTATTAAGGGTCATAGTCCCTGTATAATCCCTATAAAGCTATAAAGCATCAATGTCAATCGGGCCCTTAGATATCTATTCCCTGACGTCCAGTCCACTGGATACCAGGTTGAACCAGGTTTAAGCTTTCAATGTTTTACTGTGGCTACAGAGTTGTGGAAATCTAGACGATGCTCAGCATGTGCCTTTACTCATAAAGTTGACAGGTATGTTGTAACTGTTCCTGAGTGTTTTAGTTGCAGGCATCAAGCGGGACTAAGGATTTGACTGCAAGGCCAGGCGAGTGCTAAGCTTGTTGCTAAACCAATAGCTGCAGGGGCTTAGGACGCCACTCATGGGATTTTCCCGCGAACAAGTTCTCATATTACTTTGTATGGACCATGCTCCCCATGTTCCTTATAAAGCTGTACATATTGACATTTTATCCCAAACGCTGAGCCCTAAAAAGTGATTTTCACCATACAATAGAACGTTTATGATCCTAATTAGAGGCCCAGTTTGACACATTCATTAAGAATGGTGCTTCATGATATTTCCACAATACTTACTCCATTTTAATGGGGCTCCTAAATCTATCCTAGTTGTACGTGGCTCTTCAAAATGCCTTGTACTGGCTCTGAGAGGCGCACTCTGTGCTTCCTGAGCGACGGTTGAGGGTTTAGGGTTGAAGGCGTGAGTTTCCAAGGAATTGTCAATGGTTGTTTCCAGTTCCTGTTCCATTATTCCGATAAATCCCGTACATACACTTATATATCCCAATATACCTAGATGATATTGGAACCCCTTATATATGAAGTATAGGCTGCTACCTATGTAAAGTAGCTTTCGTGTCACGTTCCATTTGATTCTCGCTTATTCGGGGTGTAGTGCGTAATCTTAAGCCCCGAACCTTAAACCACCCTAAACCACCCAAAACCCTTCACCCCAACCCCGAACGCTAAACCCTAAACCCTAGTCATGTTCAAGGGAGCTCTCTGGCCACAGGATCGAGAAGATTGAGGATTCGAAGGATGAAGGCTCCGAAGCTGCCTGGAAGCAAAATGGCCCTTGCCTGGGGTTAGGGTTCAGGGCTTTAGGATTGTTTAGAGGTTAGGGGTTCGAGGTTTAGGGTTTAGGGGTGTAGGGTTTGGAGCGTAGGGGCTTGGGGGTGTAAGGGTTGAGGGGTTTGGGGTTTGGGGTTTATGGGTTTATGGGTTCAGGGTTTAGGGCTGGGAATCTCAACCATGAAATTTCGAGCCGCTCCGCTGACAGAATGCTTTAGCACAATCTCTGATTCTGCCATACTCGATTCGTGCATCTTAGGTGGTGGTGCTGGATGAGTTTGAGCCCCCATTTTGCTCGGGTTGGTACAGCACTATTTAGAATTATTGTCAGTGGTCCCTCTTAAACAGCAATAGGGGTTCACAAGATAGCCCCCAAATATACTGCATTTCTTATGATGGGGGCTCCCAGAAAGGGACCTCTAATTCTCGAAACCCCTAGACTTTATACAAGATCTTTACAACATGCCCCTAAATAACCCCTATACATCCTTGGTAGCCCCTTCAGGCGGTCCCATATCTTGAGCGAGCGGCCCAGGTGGCCCTCCGAGAGAGATCCCGTGCTGGCCAACCGCGATGTGTACCTTGGATTGAAGGTTCTATGAAGCCGGACAAAGCAAAGTACGGCACACGGGGTTATATCACGGTTACATAAGGGTCATATAGGGCTATGTAGGGATATTACCCTAACAATGGAGAATCAAGTGGAAGGAAGGATGATGAAGGATTGAAGTGAGCCCAGAGCCCACGATCCCTCAAGGATAGTTGACTGGTGGTAATGGGAAGAGTTTCTCACTTCCATGGAGCCCTGCTACGAAGACACTTGTGCGTGCTGGTAATTCAGTATGCCTGTCCGCAGTTGTTCTGCAGCATTCGCTGCAGTGCGAAAAGATGGAATTCTTGGCGCTGACAGGTTCAAGCTGTTCAGCCAGGTGGAAAGCCGCAATGTTTAGCATTTAACTTTTGCTTTTGATATGTCAGAACTGCAGCAGTAATACTGATGATAGGAATTTCGTCAGCAGAGCAGGTGTGTCATGCATTCAGCCGGCCTTGGAATTGTAGTGCCCCATCTTGTGCTGATTCTTAATACAAGGCTTACCGATGTTGGCGATCTAGACCATGACGAGCTAAACATATGAGCTGATTCAGCAGGATATGTTTCGGAAGATCGCAAGACGGGTTCATCTGTCGTAAGCTTTCCGTTTACGTATAGAAAACACAAACGCCCAGCAGCCGCAGCTTCACGGCCGCAGTGTAGCTATGCGATAGAATGACGCTCACTGTCAGTCAATAGTGGCGAGTCCACAGCGCTGCGGTCCAACAATCCTTCTTTTTCGTCCTGTTGCAGCAGGCAGCATCTGCCAGAAGCCGTGCGCAGAAAAGCCCAAAGGTTTGTCTTCACACACGAGCAAAGCTAAGGTTCAGGAGACCGCCTCACCGCTGGGCCGTGTTGGCAGAGATTGAACTTCCGAAGGGCAACTGGTCAAGGGTTCGTGCTGGCAGGCTAGTTGGGATATTCCTAGAAGGAGCTTTGCTTATCATTGACCATAATCCCTATATGTAACCTACCTAACCAGTCAGGGCAACCTGCAGTTCTAAGGCACTTTCCCAAACTGACATGTTCAACAATCTTCGAAAGGACCTCAGGGTCAGTTCATAGCTCCAGTGCAGCTTTGTAGGTAGGATCCCTTCTGCCCAGGCGACTTCCTCGAAGGGGGTGTGGAGCTGCCTGTGAACCGCATGGAGGTACGAGAGGAGGTTCCTGGGATATTCTTACGAATAACTTTGGATTATTATGGGCCATAATCTTCATTCTCCTTTTAAAGCCATCAAAATTTCAACTTGTGTAGGGCCCCCAAATCCATCCCAGGTGAACCTCCGGGTACGAGAGAGGCCCAGGCCGTTAAGGGAGGAGGCGAAGCCCGTGACCCAGGCGGGGGAAGAGCCTTTGCAGCGCTTTCTGAAGTGTGTCCCTCAAGGGGTAGGATTGACCATGTTTTTGATTTCTATTGCCCCCTAACCCTTATGTCATTACAGCGGCACTGTATTTTAATCCGCTCATATTTGCGTGCAACTGCCTATATAATCCCAAGTTCTATTTTATGTCCCGATTGTTTTCCATTTGATTCTCCATTATTGGGAGTAATGTCCTTGAGATATCCTAGTTCTTGGATACGAAACATTAAGCCCTGAACCCTTTGCCCAGTGAAGGAGGGTGAATGGCATGATCCTTGCGTGATGTTGGGGGCACTTGGACTACTTGAAGCATCAGTGCCTTTTCCTCCCCAGCTGCGGCTAGCATCAGAAAAGGTGCGAAGGGTTGTTAAAACAAACTCCTAAACCCCTTGAGGAGATCAAAGTCTCCTTCGCCGGGCAGCCAGACGTGAAGCTTGGCCCACTCGGTAAACTACTTGAAGGCTCACAGGGCCGGTTATGGGGACTGTTTGCAGGGTCGTGGAGGATAGAGAGACAGAGGGAGAGAGAGATACATATATATATATATATTTGTATATACGCACGCTCATATGAGGTTGTTAAGGGTAGGTAAGAAAATGGTTTAAAACTTTGCAAAGCATTCCAGCAGTCTTTGGGAGAACTCTGAGCCGACATTGGGTTCAGGCCTGGAAAGATTTATTTGCCACAATCCTTCTATAGCCTTATAGCTACCACAGCCCCCCCAGGATTTGATTTTAATGGGGTCCCTGAATCTACCCAAGTTTTGTCACAAACGGAGCCAATGCCAACCTCAGACTCTAATACATATCGGGTTTTCCTAAGATTAGGGTATATGAATGTCATTGATAATCTCATCCTCGAAACCCTAAACCTTAAACCTGTACTGAATGAACGCTTACATGAAGAGCCCAGGAAGCTCTATGTGGCGGAGAGCCGCCGAGGGAGGCCAAGCCATCAAGCTTTAAAGGGATATTAGGGTTATATAGGGATATGTAGGGATATGCCGGGAGATGTAAGGATGTGCAGGGATATGGAGTGTTGGAAAGGGGTACGTATGGGGAATGGGAAAGAAGATGGAAACTACGAGGGGTTAAGAGTTAGGGTTTAGCGAAGGGAAAAGACAGCGGAAACAATTATAATGCAGAATCGAATGAAAAAAGGAAGATGGAAACTAGGACAGATTGCTGAGATAGTCCTGGGTGGAAAAACATCATGGACCACAATACCTAGATTTTCCCGTAAAGCAACAAGAGTTAGATTTTTATAAGGCTCCTCAAGCTGTTGTAGCCAAGGAGCTTTTATGAAAACATGATGTTGAGGCTTCTCAGGTTCAGCCATTGACGGAGAACTCTCCTGATCTCTGCTGTTCAAGTATCAATTCATGGGGTGTTCAAGGGGGGGGTGGGGGCAGGTATTTCGAAGTAGAACAAAGAGCTGGCCAAAGAGAAGGTCTTTCTGGGGTTGACCGACCTTGTTCAAGTGGTCGTCAAATTGGGCATCAGATAAATGGTAGCTTTCCTAAATGCAGGGACCCCAAAATAGACCCCCAAATACTATAGTCCTTATTAAGGGACCCCCAAAAAGGTACCCTCAATTTTGGGACCAAAAATGTACCCTTAACTTTGGGAAGCCCTCAAAGGTCAGCCTCGGAGCCCGATCCTGTGACAATATTGGGGTTATATAGGGGTTATGTTGGGACAATGGCAAATAAATTGGAAACTACTATATTACATAGGGAGTATATTGGGATACATACGGGTCATATTGGGATAATGGCAAATAAAATGGACACGACTATCTAGGGTTTAGGGTTTAGACCATCCAGCTGTGCTTTTTTATATGGACGAGAGTTCGAGATTGCACATTCATTTCAGTCTGCAAGCCTGCTATCAACTTTCCTAGAACCTCACAGACTGAAGTCAAGGCCTTCAGCGTCGTAACCGCAGGGCTCTACCCCTGGGTTCTGGGGATCCTTGTAAGGAACCCTAGGGGAATACGTTGGTTGATCTAAAGCTATATCGAGGTCACATATAGGTCACCCCTTAGGGGTACGACCTTCGGGGTACAACCCAGGAACCTTTGAACCCTAAAACCCCAAACCCTAAACCGATAACAGATTCAAGAATGACACATGCACTTCAGGCGGGTATCGACCAAAGGAGCCCTGAACCGTGACCTGGTCTGAGATGGGGCTAAACTTGCAGAAGGGATTATTGCTATTACTATTATTGCTATTAGTATTATTAACATGAAGCAGTATTTTCATTTTTGTTATCAATATTTTCCTTTCAACAGTAGTACTACCATTGTTGCTACTAGCACGGAAGCCGAAAGGTTGTGTGAAAGGTCAAAAAGGCTTCCTCTGAGCCTCAGATGGTTTCATTCAATTGTCGCACAGTCATGGTAGCGAGCTGACGGGCATTTGAAAGAAGCAAAAGTGTCTGATGGCGCCCTCTCGATCAAGTGTAAGTATCCCAAACATTTTAACTCTTCTGATGCTTTAACATCCTGAGTGTCTTGATGTGGAGTTGGCTGATGGCTGCGCCGAGACAGTTTCTCTAATTTCGAGTTCCAGGCACCAACCGGGCCGCGAAAAGCAGATGCACAGGAGCAGTGGTACGGCAGCCGCTTGCCAGCATGTCATTTGCTGCCGTGGTCGACCGCAAATAGAATGAGTCGCCAACTTGAGGCTGAAGGATTGTTTAGGGGTATACGCGCATACATTCGGGTTATAGGGTGAACTATGGATTAAGGGATTGTGGAGAACCAAATGGCAAAGAAAACGGATGGTGAAATGGAAGCTGGGCTTATAACCCTAAGCCCTGGTAGTTTGCATTATTTAGTCTCTATATAATCTCCATATATTCCCAATATGTTCTCTGTGCAAGCTGGGGTTTAAGGGATATGAATTTGCAGGGCTCTGTGGTGCTGGAAGAGTCGGAGTTTAGGGATACAGGGGGATATTCTTGCCAAGAATGGAGAATCAGATAAAAAAGAGCTTGGGAATGAGGCAGAAACCGGGATGCTATGGGGGTTTGCGGGCTTCAAGAGTTTCTTGCCCTACCTAAGAGTGGGAGGCAGTTTGTAGTTGGAGTTCCTGAAGAGAAGACTGTGGAGGCCAGAGCATTATGCATACATGCTTGAGGCAAAGCGTTTGGTTTGGGCTTGGGAGTTTCGTGCGTCTCATTCCTTTGTGAGGGGGATGGCACTTGTCCAAATAGTTGTGGAGAGACCGACGTCAATCTTCCAGAGCTGAGAAAAATTTAAACGTCACACGTTCAAAGCCAAGAGGCGTCTGGGCGGATTGGCTTCTCAGCAACTCAGGGTTCTTGGCAGATGTGCAAAGGACAACATATAACTATATGACTATGATGAGTTTGGCCAGTACAGCAGCCTTTGTTGAGCACCGCTGCTATATCCTTTCAATCCAGCATTCATAGTCGGTTTGTGCCCACACCAATGCAAGAAATTACAACGTGTTGCCGCAACATTTTGACGATTTTGATGAGGCCCCTCCACTTCACTCCGAACAGCGGAGTTGACACAGCAGCCGGTGCTTCGTGAGCTTGCTTCTGTTTCTAGTCGCGGTCCTGCGTGGCCTGCAGGGACTGGAACCCCTAGATGCCCAACTCTAAGCCCTAAACCCCAAATAGAGTCATCCTGAATTGCAAGGCCAGGCAATGCAGGACGCGTCAGTCAATGTAGTTTCTGAAACGCAAAGTCCGGGCGCCATAGCCGGCCTGAGTGATATTACCGTTAATGTAATTTTGGCTGTGACTAGTCTTATTCTTATCGTTCATATTATTGTTATTATCATGATTACAGTAATTTCTAGCAATACTATGGCAATGATGTTACTCCGCATAGTAGGAGTCCACCCTGCAACCTCACCTTAGTAGTAGTTTATTTGGGGTACTATCGTGTCCAGTATGGAGTACGCAAGATGGCATCCTGCTTTTGGGTACGGTATCGTATAAGAGGGATGTGATCTTACTTCGTTCAGCCACAAGAAAATGCTACTCACCTAAGCATTCTCAACCCCAGCCTTGCACCCAAAGCGTGCCGGCCATGTGCTGGTGCTGACTGCAGCATGTTTTGTTCTCGCAGGTTGTTTGCAAGAGTTGGGAGCAAAGCAGTCAACCTAGACTAGACTGGCAACAGAGCTGACCTGTTTAGATCCGGAAATCAGCATGCACTTTAGCGTCAGCTTGAGATTGAGCCATGGTGTGCTTCGACAAATCAGGAGCCTGCTAAACAACCTGCAGAACCCCGCGTTCATTTGACAATCCATAGTTTCAACACATCAGTGGCCCACTTGTAGGTAGGCTTCGGGCAACAGTCTTTCCTCGGGACATGGTATCAGCGTGGTAAGCTCAGCTACATTTCTACGATCAGTTAGGTGGGTCTTGCGTAGGAGGGGCACATTCATCGCAGTGATTTGCAGCCCTCAGCAGCAAAGTTTTTAGCAAAGAATCGCTTCCCTAAGACTCTACCTTGTTTCTTGGCCCCATCTGCTTCACTTTCCGAGGAAATGTTTGGGGGCATGCCCTTCAAGCCAGCACTGGGTGTCAAGCTGAAAAGGTTGCAGATCAGAATGCCTAGGAGTTTGCAGGTCTTCCACCCCTGGAGCCGAATCTACCCTCTAGGAATATAGCTTAAATCATATAAGGGATCATTGAGGGGATTTTCATAGTCCTTACATAATGACATAGTAGCCTTCCTGTTCTTCTCCATTGTGACGCTAAACCACTGAACCCTCAACACGGATCCGCCTTTTCTGAGCCCCAAACACTTATACAAACTTCATAAGAGATATAGACCGCTTGTGAAAAACCAGGGACATCAGCGCCTCCTCTGGCAAAAAATCCCTGAAACCATGCAGCTGGCCTGTTAATTATAATAAGTGATCTCGCTGCTTCAAATATGCCACGGGGCTTACATAACTCAAATAATGGAAAGGAATAGCCTTTTCTTTGATTTAAACCACTTAAGAATGCGATCAAACTAGTAGAGATTATTACCTTGGGCAAAAACCCTACCTACAAACACGATGAGGACTGAGACCTTCTCCTGAATGACAACAACGAGCGCAATCGCCATGGAAAACCAAACGCAAACAGCATATCACTAAATGCAAAATATTCAGAAAAGAATCAGCATGGAGTGCAAGTCTCTCTTTTCCGCAAGAGTGACAGGGCTAGCGGACCTAGGGAACTGAATTCTCCAGTTCCTTGCACGCGATGAAAATATTGACATAGTTCTATGTGAAGGGTTCAAGATGTCGAAATTCACAACGGACTCGATTGAGCTGAAATCCGGAGAAGAGAACGCCAGCCAACATCAAAAAGTACTTGAGTTCGAACACGCTAAACGATCCAAAAAATGGAGCTGGCACCTTCTGGTGAACTAGGTTTGTTGGAAATAGATTGTGACATTTGCATAATCCAGATGATGGAAAATGGGGCCCGATTTCACTGTTCAGATTGCTTACATTCATTAACGTATTGCCATTAGCCTTGAGGGGTACGTGCATTGTCAAAAACAAATATGGCCCTTGCTTGTACTTAGTCTCACATATTTGACATGATCTAGAACAATAGCAGAAATCAGAGGCCAACAATTCAAGTAAATATGTTGATTTAATTAGAGGCAAAAAATTGGTTTTGAGGGGCAAGGCAGCATTTTTCGTCTAACCAAACTCATAAAATCTGCCCTCAAATCTGAGACTCGCTAGCTACAACGGTTCAGAATGGGTATGGGGCTTGAAATTATTGAGATACGAGAAATCAAGGGCCAATCCTGTCATCTAACCTGGGGGACAAAGAGAGGATCCAAGGATTCCAGCACTAGTGCTCGCTAGCATTCTAGGCAACCAATATTGAAGGGTCCTGGGTCCGAGATTCAAGACTGAAGGTTCCAGGCAAGATTTCTTCCCAGAATCTTGAATCAAGAACCTGAGCTCCTCAACCATTGGCAGCTTCAATGTGGTATGTTGAAGTGCGCTAGGATGACGGATAAAAGATTTCAGATTGAAGATACCTGTGCCCTCAGCCTTACGTCATGTGCCTTATGAATCAACCTCTAATGCTGAAGCTTTATATAAACCCCAGACCTTCAAGTAAATGCCAGGCATTGAGGCCCAAGCCCCAAAACCACAGGTTTAGGGCATTAAATACATTCTTAAGTTTTAAGCCTTAAGCCCGAAATGCAAAGCCAGCTCCTGCTTCCTATAGGGAAATCCTAGGTCTGGAAGCAAAAGGCTCTGAACTCGGTTCAGGATGCCGCAGGTTGTTGAATCTTGGTTCTTGTTTTCTGGGCTCCCTGGCTTTGAAAAAACTTAGAGGCCCAAGAAAGTAAGAAGCAAGAAGCAAGAGTCCTGGGAATCTTGGTTCTTGGTTGTTGGAGTCTCTGGGGTTGAAAATATTTGAAGCCGCTTGAGATTCAACAATCCAAGGCCACAGTAACCCAGAAAATCACAGAGTTAATTTTCATTAAGGTTTGAAGTTTTGAGCTTACCTTATTGCAGATGATGTAAAATTTCTACACAAACATTGCCTTCCTTAATTGAGGAGTAAATTGGGCTGTCATGGTATTTGCCAAAATTCGTTTTATACTAATACTAGAGCGGTTATAGGTGTTATATAGGAAGATTGCCCCCAATCAGACTTGTGGGGTTTTCCCCAACTTCACTATACTAGGGGTCCCTATAGTGGGGTTCCTATGACAATACGGGCCCCTATATAGAAGTCCCCATTTTGGGAGCAGATTGAAGCCAAGTTCCAGGTGCCAAACGCAACCTTTTCTTTGAGACGTGCCTTGGTAAGCTGGCTGCGCATTATCGAGTTTGAACAAACAAGGCCTCCAAAGGGGTCCCGCCGAGCAGTGAGAGCTCATGAGTGGCTCTTGCAGTCCCCATAGTAGACTTCCTTCCTGGAGCCACCCACCGAATTACTTGAGGGCATTGTCAGCGTTGAGACACTTGATAAGCCAGGCCTCAACCCCGCTGTTTCCTTGGACTTTTTATGGCGGGACACTTTGAGTCGACGGTCACATCAGTACCAAAATTCATGACTTGCAATCAAGTGCTGAGTTCTCAGGGCCATGGGCGAGCATCGTCCCAGATCTATATATATGTGTGAAGACTTGGGCTTGTCTAACCTCAAAGCCAGAAGCAGGTCGAGACCA